TTAAAGGACATGGAGTTCTGACGCTATTTTAAGAATATAATCTCATAACGTTTAAAATAAATTAAACTTAACAAGCAGAAAGATGTAAAATAATAAAATAAAAGTATAAAATAATATATTTTTCTGTTTGCTAATTTTAATTAATTTTGAATGTTTTGGGGTTTTATTCTTGGAATAGCGTCAGGGCCCCATGTTTTTTATACATGCAGATTGGTTGGGCGACTATAAAGGACAAGTATTATTGCAGGGTTTTTCATGCAAAAATTCGTGATTACAGGGATTATACCGTGACTGAGAACAGAAAATACCACTGTACTGTTACGTTTGAAAATATTTGAGTTAAAAAATATGCGAATAGTTCGACCACAATTAACTGTTCTCACGTTGGCGCGTCTTTCCAGTAGACGTTATAATTCACGTGAAAATGTTTGAAAATTTCAGGAGTGGTCTCTCTTCTTCGTGTGCTCTCCTTTTTTTTATTTCGTCTTGTATCGTATGCTGCGTGCAGTGCTGTGTTGTTGTTGTTTGCTTAATTAGCCTAAGGTAAGTGCTTTCAGACTAATTTTTCGAATTTTACATATTTTTCTTTAGCGGTTTGGCGAATAGCTCGTGTACGGGGTCGAGAGTTCGAGTTTACCAGTAAGGAAATCCAATTCCTCTGCAATTTATTTATTCGTTTCGATGCTAAATCTCTACTGGCAGATGCCAGAGATCCAAATCCACCATCATCTTGCTTCTAATCTACCCTTAAAAAAGCAAGCAATCGACGGTCTTGCCCTCGGGCGGTTACAGTTAGAATATGCCATTACTCAAGCTACTTCCGAGGGCTTCCATCTCTTTTAGAGCGAATGGGGAGGGATTTGACTTTGATATATTTTATTTTGTCACGAAGAAGTTTAAAAAAAAGTAAAAATTTTAATTTGAAAGAAATTCTGCACAAAAATTAAAATTTCGGTAACAGTTTCAGACAGTCCTATTTCTCACGTAGAAAATTTTAATCTTCTCGTTAATTAAAAAATTTAAACAATTTTAATTGACAAAAAATAAAAAAATTTTAATTTTTTTTTAAAAATAATTCCTGTTTGAAACTTGTTATCTCATATCACATGGTGTTTCAGCTCGACTAGCTTTCACTGCATATTTTTCACTCAACAATTTTGCCCTCTTCTCGGCTGTTACAAGGCGAGTTTTTGAGTGAAAATTTTTTTTGATTATTTAATTTCCAAAATAAAAAACTAATATCGTTGGTTTTTTTTTCGACAGCTTTAGAATGTCATGCATTAGTTAAATTTATGGAAAAAAATCACCATTTAACTTATGGGTACTATTCGCGAATGCACCTCGTCTGCAGCTATTAGTCAAGTCTGCAAGAACGAGGTCCAGTTGCAGCACTGAATAGGAGTGTATGCGACTTAGTGGACTGAAACAAATTATTTTAATTTTATTCATATCTGCATTCTTATCTTTTTACAATCTTTCGTAATCATAAACCATCTAAGTTTAAATTTAAAATACCAGAAAATCAGCATCATAAAGGTTTTTTTTCTTACAGATATCTTCCGGAAGACAGGTCAGCCAGTCTCACACACGCGATGATCCCATCCTTATACGGACAGCTAGCTACAGCTGGAACTATTGCTGATCCACTTGTACAAGCTGCTGCTGCTGCTTTAGCTGCCCAGTCGGCGGCTGCTGCAGCAAATGTGAATGATTCGCTCACATTCACAGGTATTTCTTAAAAAGCGAATTTTCGGACACCATCGCGTCTGGAGCATCCAGGAAAGGGATTTTGGAAACTTAGGAACAGAGAAGAGGTTGGGTAAGCAAGCTTTTTTTGCTGCCAGAAAAACATATTCCGTTTGGGTGCGGGAAGAATTTTTTCCAAAAAATCCGGAATGAAAAACGATAAGATGACTCTTACAGCAAATATATGAAAGGAGCAGACTACTCATCCTGAAAAAAATAAAATTTCTCTTTTCCTCCTTCTTCCTGCGCCCCTCTTTGTTCCCCAGTTCCCCTAAAGCCCTCCCCTTCCTTCATTTCCCGCTCTCCCTTTTCTAATGGAACATATATGTTAAATTTCTTAAAGAAATTTCTTCATATATTTATCAGTAATCTTTGTTATATTTTTGTCGAAGTGGAATTTTCTAATATATTTGTCAGTAATTTTGTTATATTTCAGAATCTCGATATTTTTGCGTTCGAAATATGCTACTGATAGCTTTTTTATTATTTCTTAATAAAATTGAAAGTTTATAAATTTTGCTATTTTATTAACAGTCCTGTTACTACAATGTACAGTATGCCTGGTCCTGAAATTATAAAATGTGGAAGAAAAAACTAAACTACGTTACTGTGAAACAAGAATGTGTAGGAGAGAACATTATCCAAATTTTTCGGGCG